GAAAAAGAGAGCAGCTTGCCGCCTCTTGGAACAGCTGGTGTGTCCAGTTTCTAATCCACTAAGAAAATGGATAGTGTTTTGGAAACATAGGTTTTGAGTTTCACTGCCCTGCTGAAACGATTTTAATGAGTAAATTAGAGGTTGAATAAAAACAACAGTGAGTGGCTGCTATCAGTAATAATGTTACCTTTTTGTTTTTTTTGCTTTATTGCTGAAAAACATTTTTTTCAGTACTATAGCTTACGAAACAAAAAACAACAGGCTTGGGTAGAATATCAGTAAGTTAAATCTTCCTAATAAAAACAGTCCCAGGTTATATTTCTATAACAACAGGCATTATAGTTCCACTCCAAGAGTATGTTCCTGGTGATGGCTGTTATCTGTAGTTTCCAGCATGTTTGTCCCTGTAGTTCAAAGATGTCACTGTGTGCTGTGACATCCACATCCTGTCATACAGAAGGATGTGCATGGATAACATTCCAAGCCTGTTAATTATTATTGTTTTTGGGTTGTTTTTTTTATGGTTGTGTTTTGTTTCAAAACAGGGGCGTGTGCAGGGTGGAAAAAGTCAACATTTGCAAACCGTCTGTGCAGAAGCAAAATTAGTTCTTATGTTCACTGATTAACTGGTATATTCCAAGTATTTTCATTGCACCAAATAGTAATAAACGGAACTGTAGTAAATTTAGTGTGCTGTTGTTTTCTTGGTTTTTTTTGGTGTTTAGTTGGTTTATGCAATGAAAAGATCTATATTTTTCTTGAAGGCCTGCAGGATTGAAAAGAATCTCTGCTTAAATTTAAAATATAAAATAGAATTCCTCCTAATAGGAACAACTAGGAGTAGCAAGGGATGAGTGATGGGAGACTTTGGGCTCTGCTTTGGACATCTGGTGAAGTAATGGAAGGAGGGTGTGGCTCATTATGACATCCAAGGTGTTGTCTCTACAGTCTGGGTGGAGGTCAAATCTAAGCCCCAAGGTTTAGGGCTGAGACTTTTCTCCTTTTGCATGATGTTACTGATTTCACAGCACAGCACATATGTAGGGAGGGAAAGAGCTCCCCAAGGAGACTTGCTGCAGCTGCACCACTCATCCCCCTCTCCAGGCCTCCTCCCCAATCTCCCCAGAGAGGAAACAGGCCTCATCCTCAAATACCATAAGTGAAGGACTCCTGTCCCCGGCTTATACTGTCTGACTGCAACCACTTAATCAGGTGTGACAACGTTTGTTTTTACTGCAATTTCCTGCTTCTTCCCCACCCTAAAATCAAAAGCTGGGATGACAATCACAATGGCAGCTGAGAGATTTTTGTTTCATATTTAGTTATTTCCCATAACAGCGACACGGGAAATAAATATACTTGTTCTCATATATAGGCAGACATACAGTAGACTTATGCATTAAAGGAGTCTGTTTATTCAGCGCAAGTAAAGTATTAATAATGATGATGATGATGATGAATTCAGAACAAGTATACCAAGTATTGTATGTAGCAGAATCCACTCATGCAGTTTGATTTTTAAAATATGCACTAGATCAACGATTTCAATTTCATCATGGTTGAATGAGAAATTCAAAGGAAGTGCTCAACCTCTGATGCTAAAAAAGTGCATTTTTATTATTGTTATGCTCATCATTATTGCTATTGGACTAAATATCTCAACTGCCCTTTAAATGTAGTAAATAGCTAAAAGTAAATCAAGTAAATAAAGTGAAGCAAGCGCAGGATAACATAAAAAGTTTAATTTTCGTACTTTTTTATGAGTAGAGAAGCTGCATTCTCAGGAAGAGACCTGAAGCGACCATTAAAATAAACACACAGGAGTAAAATCTGTATTTAATCTTACCTTACCATGGTAGCAACTGCGTTTTAGACTATCTTCAGTGAACATTACGCTTTGTACATTCTCTAGCTTGTGATTTTGGCACCGTGCTCTTGAAATGATGTTTTTGCATCTGTTAGTGCATACAGCAAGGGGAGACTTTTCCCCAGTGAGGAGGAGGGGTGAAAGAAGGTTGTCTGGCAGGAAACAAAACCAAATGTAAAAATGAAAGTTCTGGCTGTCATAGCAACTTTAGTGCATAAATTGATGATAATGATACGCGGCCTCCTCCCTGCAACATGTGGCTATAGCACCCCTGCACAGACTTGAATCTTCTATAGACTGAATACACGAAGCTTTTCTAAAAGTAGTGATTGATGATGTGCAATCCAGGTTGCCAGTTCTGTAATGGCCTTTCATGCTGTAATCCATTACTCCAAGTCCAGTCACTTGTGAAATTCTTGAGAATCTCTCAAGGGATCATCTTGCTTTATTTCTGGGGCTGACATCCACAGTGTTTACAGCGTATCTGACTTTAGGGGTTGCTTACATTCCCCTGCCATTTAAAGTACATGAAGTACAGTTGGATTAAACTTGAGACCAGCATCGCATTACTCCAGCAGCATGTTAAAAACTCTTGTGGTCCTATAAACTATGTAAAGAGAACAAAGCACTTCCCGGGAGCTACATGCACATCATGGCAGCAGACAAAGCAGGTGCTTTAAGAGACTCATATTTCTTTTTTTTTCAAAGAAGTTTTACCTTTTGTCTCACTGTCTGTAATTTTAATTTGCCCAACAACAACTACAGTGTACAGCACATCTGATTTAACTTATTATTTAGTTCTTTACATCTGGCTACACACCACATCAACCGGTAGAACACCCAGGCTAAAAGGAGGACAGCCAGGCCAGGAAGTCCACTTCATGTAGTCAAGCAGTGAAGAGCAAGATTTACTCAATCTTCACCCAAGATTTACTCACAGTCTTGGCCTTATGCTTTCTGAGAGAGACCAAGGATGTGTTTATGCATTTTTTGTGTTTCCCTGTGTTTGTGTTGAGACTGGAGCGCCTAAGGCTTCTTGTTGAGGCCAGGGGGGCCTTGTTGGAAACATAGGAAGACTTTTCACACAATTGTATAAGCTGTCTGTGTCCACAGTAGTGAGGCACTACTACCTATAACGGTTTGACATATTCCATAATGTTTCAACATGTAAGGATTAATGTAATCACCTTTTTTCTGAATAGTGATTTTTTTCATTCATAAAACATAAGAATAAAGGGATTTGCAGTGTCTTACAATTCATACAGACTGCTTAGTAAGTGGAATGCTTTAAAATCTTTCACCGATACTGATTGCACTAAGAAATATTTAGAGTCACGAGGTATAAACTAAGGTAAGTCAATTTGGTAGGGTGGCTATTTTTGACATATTAAACATAGCAGATTAAATCATAATTAATCGAATGATCTGATAGCCCAGATTTGTACCCCAATTTACAAATTTAATTGTAGCATATGACCAACTTTGGACACATTGCTGGAGAGAACCTACATGGTCCGATCTAGAGTGGTAGATGCATCATATTGGCCATTCGCTAGCTTCTTGTTTTGGATGAAAACATTTCAAAGTGACCTCGGCACTTCCCAAGAATATGTTCAAATTAGCCATGTTTATAGGATTACAAACACACGCTAAACATTTAAATCTACGTCCCATAAATGTGTCTTGTGTTTCACTAAAGAATGATAGTGGTGCACTGAAAACATTTTTGCTTTGATTGCAGAATAGTTTTGGTTACACGTTAAATTGTTTACACACTACACTGGGTTTCTGCCATGAGAAGGGGAGTGTTTAGAAGTTCAGGCTGAATTGAATTACACCGCCATCATACAGTAGGCAGGATGATCCCTGATGCTGATTATGTCTCATTTACCCTTCATGACTGTGGCAAAGCTGTGCTACATAGTTATATCTTTTTGCGGCTGTTTTAAAAAAAATACAAGTCAAAGGAGCTTGTTATCTGAGCATTTACGTTTAATAACACTGTCCAGTCTTCAATATATAAAAATACTTGTTAAGATTAATTTTCAGTCATAATATGATTATGATATTAGATTTCCAAAAGAAGTTATTACATAAACAAGATTTCTCCCAAGAGATGGATGTGTGGTGAGGTCACAACCCTTTGAAACTTAGCTGCTCATTTTTATATGATGCAGAGAGTAAAAATTAAGACAACCGTGAGCACTAATTAGCAAGTACAATTAACAAAATATGCCAAACTGTTAAATGTTTTTGGGTGGGCTTGAGGTTTAAATCACCAGGAGAAGATGTTCAAACCAGCTTTTTAACCTCTATTAGAAACAAACAAAATGATAAAAACTCACAGATATTTACATAAAACATCTTTTCTTAAAGGTGATTATATATACATTAGCAGTTTGTTGCAACTGCAAGAAGTACTGCACTGGCATGACTGTGGAAAATCAAGTGTAAGAAGTTTTGATATTTGATATCTGTGAATTACAGATGATGTGAAGACAAGAGCCAATGCATGAGATGGAAAAAACTTTAACCTGTATAAATGAACTGAAACAACTAGAAGTTAACACTCATTTTGTGGGATTTGGTATATTTAATGTAATCATAACTGCAGCAGAGACAGTGGCACACATCATGGAACTAATTATAGTACTTCAGGTAGGACCCGATTGATTTAATTTGCATCAGAATTTGTAGGCTAATCATTTAAGATTTGGTACTTGCTCTCATTTGAGACATCACTATCACTTTTATATAATAAATAAATAAATGTCCTCTTGCCAAGGGATAATAAAATTTAGGCTGCAAGTTTGAAGCAAATCCAACAGAATAGGTTCAAAATAAGGCTTGAACTGTAATGTAAAGCTAGATAATGTTGTCATAGGAAGTGACATTATACTTTGGACCTACAATACCGAGAAAAAAACCCTGCTTTGTCTGATTGGCATCAAACTTTATGAGCCCTTGCAAGAAATGAAATGACAAAACATATGGGACAAACTTTGTATTTATGCAGGAAGCTTTTTTTTTTTTTTTTTTTTTTACCATTTTAATTATAAAGTGTTTAATTTGCAATTCCTTTTTCTCGATGTCTCTGTCTTTCTGTGATTCACCTGCTCTCCCTTCCTTACAGGTGTAGTGATATGTCAAGACCAAACCACCACCCCTACCACAGCACCGAGTGTCAATAACGGTAAGAGCCTTCAAAAAATGTATAATGGGATGTGAGAACAGCACTGGATTCCAGAGAATTTCACTATATTTTAGAGATATTATTTTAAAGTGCCAAGTTCCTTCAAATATGTACAGACAGGCTTTTGTGACATAAGACATGGCGCCTGACAAAACTTTGTATTTAAACTTTATTTTCAGGGACAAACGAAACCTTCATTGATTCCCTCATTACTTCACTAACCAAAAGTTTGGCTAACAACAGTGAGCTTTGGTTGCTCACGGCAGAACCGCAAACGGACGAAGACAACTCCAGCAATGATAATACAATGGTAAATACCGGCCTGTAGCATCATATTTTCAACTTATTAACTAGTAGTACCTCTATCACCAATAACTCTAACAGCAAAAATGAAAATTATATATGTTATGCTGCATGTTATATAAATGATGACATTTATTTTTTAAACATGTATTTACAAGGGATAACAAAAGCTGTAGTTATACGTATGTGGAGTATAAGTACAGTGATATGAGAGGAGACAGCGCTAATCCCAGTCACTTCCTGGTGGCATTCCCTCTAACCAAGACCCTTTATCTGGCTCCCTACACCTTGTGCCCAGAGGAAGTGTTTTGTGCTGCTTGGAGGAATCAAATGAATGTGTTTAAAGACCTACAGTTGGAAAAATTGGTCTCATAAAAGTGGATCTTTTCTCAAACATTCCTCAGCAGTTGTAAATCATGAAGCTGTGCTAAATGCTGGAGACAAATGAACTGGAGAGCTAATGTTTCCACTCATGCACTCGAACAGGTGTGGCTCATTTTTTTTCCAACTGTTTTTTGCAACAACTTTAATATAATATAGATTTTTTATTTCTTTTTAAGGTTTGTCAAAACAGAAATATCTGACCTACAGAAAAAACTACAGATTTATCTTACTGTGTAATACAATATACTTATCCATACATTATTAAACTGTAATTGTACATGTATTTTTTGACGAACAACAAAAGAAATTTGATGCTAAATGTTACATCGGAAGTCATCGTTACATTGTGCCATATGTGACTCCAGGTGTGTAGAGACAGAGCAACAAGTCCGTTCTATAGGTCATTACTGCAACATCAAGCCAGAACCATCAACTGTCCAACTCAACCTGAAACTAAACATGAAATTCCTAAATAGCTTGATATGACACTGATAACAGAGTCGGTATCCGTGGATTACATTTTATAATATTACAATGGAGGTTATGGGAAATAAGAACACTAAAATCTGTAAATCCAACACATGTTTTTCTCCTTCTATCTTCAGTATCAAATAAATTGTTTATGTTAAAATATGCCGATTCAAATTAAACATCCAACTATGGTCATGTAAGTTCAGGCAAAGCAGGAATGAGATGTAGGATTTGATCAGTCACAAGCAACAGATGGAGAACAGTACAGATTCCCTGGGATTGATTTTGTCATTTGACTTCAGCCTTCCTGAGTTTCTTCCTCTTCTTTTCAAAGCTCTGAGCATTACAGAAGAGTCCAGCTGTGAGCCCACTCCCAACTAACTGAGGATTCAAAGTTACAGCTCACAGTGGTCTTCTGGGAATGCTGAAAGCAGTCTGGATCACATTACAGAAGAATAAAAAGTGTTCCCAAGTTACAAAGCCTGAAGTTGTGCAATGATGATATCATTATTCAGGGTTAAAGTGGGTAAAAAAAAACGAAGGTGTGGTCAGCAAGTTCACTCAGCTGCATCTTGTCTGTAAGGCACACAAGGCCAGTGTGAAACACATGTTTGATTGGTGGCCCTGTGCTCCCTGTGTATGAATAAAACTATGTACTGAAAAAGTGAAAATTGCATCAGGCAATTGCAAACTAGGATATATTTTGTAGGAGATTGCTCCAGCCTAGACAGCGACATATGGAAAAGTGTACTATTACAGAAACTACTGTCCATCCACATAACAGCAAGTATGCACTTTTTTGTTTTTCTTACTTTTTGTGTGAAAACCCTTCATAATATATATTTTTTTAATATACTGTATATGAGTTTCTCTCAAAGCTATGGAGCCCCGCAGGGGACATGGGAGAAAAAAAAATTAAGACGGACTTTTGCAAGATCTCGCAAAACTAACTCGGGATCTCGCAAAACAAACTCGGGATCGCGCAAAACTTTTGCGAGATCTCGCAAAAGTTGAATTCCAACAATGGCGGCAGCTACTTAGTTGTAATATTACTCTTTCTGGGTCACAAAATACACTTTTAAGATATTTTCAGGCGTGAATGTAGTTGTGTAAATGTCAGATAACTGCTCGGTTTACAAGACATCACATATTTGCAAAAGTGTTCCAACGTTTTCAGAGATCTGACACCCACTAGCTTGAAGCTAACGGGAGGTCGAGACCTACTACAGCCGGGAGGAACACCGCTTTCCCAGCACATCGTGCCTCGACCTCCCGGTCGGCTTTGAGCTGGTGGCCTCTGAAGAATGCGGCTAAAAGTTTTGCGAATCCCGAGTTTGTTTTGCAAGATCTCGCAAAACTTTTGTCCGTCTTAATTTTTTTTTCCTCTCATGTCCCCTGCGGGGCTCCGTACAAGGCTACAGAAGGCGAATTTCAGAAAAAAGTTATTTATCCATCCATTCTGATTTTTTTTAAACTACTTGCAAATAGACAATCCTCCAGCTTCCTTCTTTATTCTCCATTCAAATAGGACAGTATGGACATTATACACCGGCTACAAATCAAATTATAAAAGGCCAACATTTGGCTTCACGTTTAATTTGAACCCTACTCTGTCCCTGTGAAAGTTCTCTTATTGTAATGCACTACCACAGATACAGACAGCAAAAACTCAGCTATGAGCACTTAACTTGCACTCTCACAACTTGCATCTCATGACTGAGATAAGAACACCTCTTATTTTCTTCTGGATCTTTTTGACCAGGAATGTCATTTTTAACTGTTCCCATATAACTTTTTTTAATCACACATTGTCCTTTTATACTTTTTTTGTAGGTGGACAGTACTAAAGGTCCATCACCATCATTAGATTTATCACCATCATCATCATCGTCGTCGTCGTCGTCATCATCAAATTCCTCTGTGTTTGTGGGACTACTTGTCAGTGGTCTGCTTGCTGCCCTTGGAATCACTGTAGGTTATTGCTATTGCCAACGCAGGACTGACACCAAGGCAGTGAAGCTGGTAAGAATATTGTACAATATACAGTATCTTTCCATTGTGGAACGCTCTTATTTATATATATAATAATGCTGGCACAGGTGTTATTGTAAGCTGTAGTACACCATACCGTGCACCCTGGATTAATTAAAAATCTTCATAAAATTGTAAATTCTGAACAGAAAACAACTTTGTATTATTTCATGTGTGTATTGTGATGGTCAGTTGAAAATTTCTAGCTTTTGTTTGATGAGCTCCTACTTGTGGTCTATTTACAGACAGATGAGACCTATCCAGCAGATCAGGAGAACCAGGGGAGCACTCTTGCTTCTGTAGCCCCGCTCATCCCCACTCCCGAGACCCAGGAGAAACCCAGCGTAAATGGAGAGTCCCCCGAGGCAGCCAAGACCCAACCTCCTCCACCTACCAACGGCCACTCCACCACCAAGACAGCAGACACTGAGCTGTGAAATAGTCCAAAATGAATTGAATCCCAGGAACTACCCATCTATACACACAGACACGTCTGATGAAAACACATCTTTGTTTCAGAATTCACTCCTGCCTAATCAAACTGAGGCCACAGAAATGTGGACTTTAGGGACTACAGCAATCCCTTACATAAACACTCCTGTTGTTATATGGTCCTGTTACCTGCTCTTTTAGCTATGTGCCTCAAAAAAAAATCAGGAAAACTAGTCTGATGATGACAATAATGGTAGAGATGAATGATGCTGATTAATCACGACGAAGACTCGGTTCCTGGGTTTTGATGGCAGTCAGGAAGGAGAAGAAAGACAGGAGATGGGCAGTTCTGGGTGTGAAGAAACTATAATGTTAGTATTAACCACAGCTTGCTACTATGATGACTGCAGCCTCTGGAGTCACAGCAATGTGCTGTCCACTTCAGCAGAGGCTCTGCCTGTCATCTGGTTTAATGCTCCAGCCAAACATCCAACTGAAAACACAGCTAAAGCACCTAAATAACACGTGTCCTTACATTAATGTAAGACCATAACAGACAGACAGGAACTAACTTACACTGCCTTGAAATCTGTTTACAAGAATACATCTTGTATTCTTAACGTGCGTAGGTGGTT